CCCCACCCTCTCTCTCATTTGACTGACGTTGCACTGATTTGTCCTGCTCTGACACGCTGACGGGGGAGGGGCTAGTAGTGCCTCTCAGGTAGTGGTTTGTGTTGACAAACTCAATAACAACAAGTCTGTATTTTGTCAGCCGAGGACCTAATGAGGTAAAATCAGACTTATATTTTCCAAAAAGAGAGGACCTTCCAAATCTTTGCACAAATTGTGAACAGGGTCTKTTGTTTACCCTTGTCATTTGATTTAATTATAGTTACTTTGTTTATTCATTAAATTTGTTGTGTGATTTATGTTTGTGTTTAAAGCAAATAAATCTAAGTTCATCATAGTACCTTACATTGTCAAACTTGTTTTTAGGGGTTCAAATTGGGGTGGGTGGGACATAGTTTGGAGTGGGGGGTGGCGTTGCGCTTCAACTCCCCTAGGGCACCAAAATGGCTAGAGCCGGCGCTGCCCATAAACCTTTTCGGACACTTCCGAAGGAAAGTTCACGCAGCAGAAGTGCGTGGTGACCGTGCTTTCTGACACGCTGGAGCCGTTAACGGAACTGACGGAGAACACCATCGCTCCCGCGCTTAAGCTGGTGTTCAGCACCCGAAGGAAGAGGAACGCAAACGGCAGGTTTTTTGGTCGACTGAGACATGTGCTGAGGCCCATTGCAATCCCGGAGGAGTGACGCTTACGCCCTGGTAGGCGCTCAGGTGGAAGGTGAGCCAGATGGAGACGGCCCTGGAGAAGAGGACTGACTTGCAGCCAGTGGCGGCACTTTTTCTGATTTAGTGATAGGCCTACTCCTAACCAAGCTCAGAGCATCATGCAGCCTTTATAACATAAAAATGTGTTATAGTGACAAAAAAATTGTCACCATAAGTCCAAAAGGTGACATCATAAGTCAGACTACATAGGTATAGGTTCTGTATATAAAGAAAACCATCACTTCCTTGTCATTACTCTTCTTCAGTGATAGAGCTTGGTGATGTTTCAAACTGTTAAACACTGCCACCAACTGTTCAGGAGGATTATTACACCCCTAAAGGTTGTTTCATTGTGGAAGGGGTGTGTACAGCAGGGTGGCCAAAGATTTGTCTGTGGTAGCCGTGGCCACCCCCCTGGCTCCGCCCCTGCTTGCAATGTCTGAAGGAGGCCAGGGCCTCCAGCAGGCACCGCACGGYCACCGCCAGCAGGTTGGCGCAGGCCAGGTGGAGGACGATGGCGTCCGCTGCGAGGAGCGAGTTCTCCTCGTAGATCAAAAGCAGGAACGCCCCAGTTACGGCGGTGTTGCCCAGAATTCCCACAGCTGTGAGTGACAGAGCATCCCTTGAATAAAATCCTCTGATGGCATTCCTGCAGAGAGGAGGCACAGATTAAAACAGATTTTTTTAGATCACTGGAAAGATCAAAAACTGCCTTTTCTGTGAAAATGATGAGCGTGCATGACTGCTGAAACATGTTGAAGTAAAACACCAACTGAAAGCGTGAACGCTCACTCAGCTTTTACACAAGTGCCGTGCAATATAAATGATATTCAGACGTTACCTATTAGCATGTTCAGATATGGTCTAAAAAGTTGAACTTGTGTCCCTGATGCTCTGTGATCCCTGCGTCGGGTTGTTGGTGTCCTTATACCTGCAGACAGGTATCAGCTGCTTGGTCCATTGAGCACGGTCCACTGAATTTACTTCCCTCTGCATCCAATTACCTGAGATCCGTTCAGATGAGTGATTCTGTCACCTTCACTGGCTTTTAGACAGACAAAATAACAGAGGAGGCTGAGATTGGATTCATTTGCATGGTGCATAGAGTTTTATGTGTACAGTTAATWAAAAGTAAAACCTATTAGCCTTGTGTTTTGTTATTAAAAAAAACAATGATTTGTCAATGTTTTACCAAGTAGATGGATTGTTTTCTAACTACCGAACCGATGAAGTTCATAAAATCATAATACTTTTTTTATTTCTGCAAACAGTTTTTTAAAAGACAATTTTAAAAAACTGAGTTTGTGAATCAGAGCCCGGCTCCACAGTGCCCCCCAGTGGTGACAAATGAAACAAGGTCAAAGCCATAAAGGACGTCCACGCTCAGATGWATGACAGATGATCACCCCACACATTTTTTTATTACCAGAGCTTGACACAGCTTTCAAGGTTTTATTGTGTAATTTATCCAAAGTGATTAAAAAAAAGTTCTAAAAGAGGAATTAAAGCTAAACAGAAGAATTCCAGGGGCATGGATCCATGCAGTTGGGCCCCTGCGGAAAGGAAATGGAAATTAATTTTCTGGTAATTCCTCTCAAGTTGAGACAAAGTCTGCTGTAGATAATTTCAAATGAAATCATATCATTAAGTTGTTTACCTCATTTTATTTGTTTTTTGATTACAAAACAGTGTTAGAAGTAAAGTAATTTAGTTTTGATTTTACTTGACAAGCTGCTCTTAGATTGTGCAACTTGACGTCCTAATCATATACGGACACATTCTAGTTGTTATGATAGTAAAAAATAAATAATTTTTTGTTAAACAAAATGGCTATTTTCCTCCTGGATTCTATTTTGAAGGCAAAGGTGTGCAAATCCACCAAAAAATTCAGTGTCAGTTTTTGACATATCATTTTCTTCATGTGTTTTAAAGGTACTAGAGTTCTCTAAGAGGATTGAATTAGTTTATATTTCATTTTAAACTGAATTTAAAGGCACGATAACTCGTAGTTTAGTCTCCAAATCAGTGTAAACAATACTGCTACTGTTTGGTTGAGAAACTGCAGAATCAGCAGCTTTAGGTTCAATTTGTCTGTTGAGCAACAAATTAATTAACAGAATGGAAAGGGGAATAAATATTCCAGCTAAAGCTGCTGCAGTCATCAGCACAGAAACAAAACATTATATAAAAAAACATCTACTCTATTCTGAACTAATTTGAGTATTTGCTGGAAAAACTTAACCTTAGATATTCTGCTGGACATTTATAAGCATTTTGTCATTTCTCTGTGGATTATTACTGAAAGTGATTTAATCAATATAAACAAAAAACGAATTAGTGCACCGGTGAAAAACACATTACATTAGCCATAACCATAATGATGATGAGAATTATCAAAAAAATAGAGAATTGCCTATCAAGGGAAAGAAGTCCTATAATTAAATACTATTAAARWTTTATTATGAAAGTCACAGAGCTGTAAACATGTTCAAATCCCCTGAAGAGGACATGCTTCAACTTGCCATTTTAATTAGCTGCGCCAACATGTAAACATGTTAAAAACACACAGGAAAAGAACTCATCTAACAATGATTCATTCCACAGATTATACTCGAGAGAAAATAGACTTATGAAAAAAGTTTCTGCTCACAAAATAAAGTCTGACCCGAACCGACCAGCACCATGCTTTTTAATGGCACATCGCTCAGGTTTATGGGTTTTCACTGAAAAAAACACTTAAAAAGGCATCACGAACGTTTTGTCAAAGCTGAGATTTGCTGGTGAAATTAATTTTTGATGGTTATCCCTATGCCCCCAATTAGTGCGAACACATTGTTACATACCTGTGGCTAATTGTCTCGCTCCTCTGTGTCTCCTAATGCTCTCTCTGGACACGGAGGAGGAAAGACGGGCACAACAAAGCACCATCTGTGTGTCTGTGGTGTCTTTTGCATAAACAACAACCGCACACTGTTCGTTCCAGTTGGTTAACTGAGATTTTTATKTATTTAATTCATTATTTCTTCTAACTCTGTTAGGGAAAATGAATCCTAACCTCTGTCTGGCCTGAGTTTATTAAAAGCTGGAAAATGCCTTCATTGTTAAGAATTGGTACTGATGGGATAACAGTTTTCCTAAATCTAAAATTTGCAACAAAAATAATAATTCAAGCTCTGTATTGTTCAATATTTAAAAGGTACTCGTTGCAAATATGAAATCAAACATTAAAAGTTTATCCTGATCAAATAAAACATATCAAACAGTGAAGTTTAAAAGACTCTACTTTAGTAGTTTTCCGGGTGTATTGTTCAACAAATATTATATAATACTGTAATTCTTATTTGTGTTGGATATTGTCAGTTAGCTGTGGTGGTCCTTATGTATCTATTTTTATCTTTATTTAACCTGACAAATCCCAGTCAGATCATAGATCTTATATGTTTGGTGTGACCGTGCTGTCAATGAAAACTGTAACCTTAGAAAATATTTAAACTTCATTAAGCCTCACATTATTTTAAAATGAAATGTTTGATTGTATTTTACACATCTGGATTTTGCTCATCATCACTGGAGGGATGTACGGTACAAGCTGATACTTTACTGCTCCACACTGTTCATGCT